TCTATAATTTTCCTTTTTGGTGGAGTCTTTGTCTGATTTTGGAATTAAGGTGATGCTGGCCTCATAGAACGAGTTTGGAAGTATTCCATCTCTTTCTATCTTTCCAAACAGCTTTAGTAGAATAGGTATGGTTTCTTCTTTAAACGTTTGAAGAATTCCCCTGGGAAGCTATCTGGCCCTGGACTTTTGTGTCTTGGGAGGTTTTTGATGACTGCTTCAATTACCTTCCTGATGTTTGGCTTGTTCAGGTTTTCTATTTCTTCCTGTTCCAGTTTTGGTAGTTTGTGATTTTCCAGAAATGCGTCCATTTCTTCTAGATTGCCTAATTTATTGGCATATAGCTGCTCATAATATGTTTTTAAAATCGTTTATATTTCCTTGGTATTGGTGTTGATCTCTCCTTTCTCATTCATGATTTTATTAATTTGAGTCTTTTCTCTCTTCTTTTTAATAAGGCTGGCTGATGGTTTATCTATCTTATTAGTTCTTTCAAAGAGCCAACTCCTGGTTTTGTTGATCTGTTCCACAGTTCTTCTGGTCTCTCTTTCATTGAGTTCTGCTCGAATCTTTATTAACTGTCTTCTTCTCTGGGTGAAGGTTTCATTTGCTGTTCCTTCTCCAGCTCCGTTAGGTGTAAGTTTGGCTTTTGTATTTGAGTTCTTTACGGTTTTTGGATTGATGCTTGTATTGCAATGTATTTCCCCCTCAGGACTGCTTTTGATGTATCTCAAAGATTTTGAATGGTTGTATCCTCATTCTCATTAGTTTCCATGAATCTTTTAATTCTTCTCTAATTTCCTGGTTGACCCTTTCATCTTTTAGCAGGATGGTCTTTAATCTCCTCGTGTTTGAAATCCTTCCAAACTTCTTCTTGTGGTTTAGTTCTAGTTTCAAAGCATTATGGTCTGAAAATATGCAGGGGGCAACCTGAATCTTTTGGTATTGGTTAAGACCTGATTTGTGACCCACTATGTGGTCTATTCTGGAGAAAGTTCCATGTGCACTTGAGAGGAATGTGTATTCAGTGGCATTTGGATGTAAAGTTCTGTAAATATCTGTGAAATCCATCTGGTTCAGTGTATCATTTAATGCTCTTGTTTCTTTGGTTATTTGTGTGCTTGTTTCTTTGGTTATGTTGTGCTTAGAATATCTATCAATTGTAGAAAGCGCCATATTCAAGTCTCCAAGTATAAGTGTATTATTATCGAAGTATGTCTTAACTTTGGTTATTAATTGATTGATTTACTTGGCAGCTCCCGCATAAATATTCATGATTGTTAGATCCTCTTGTTGGATAGATCCTTTAAGTATGATATAGGATCCCTCTTCTTCTCTTACTACAGTCTTTGGGATAAACTAATTTATCTGATATGAGGATGGCTACCCCTGCTTTCTTTTGAGGACCATTTGAATGTTAGATGGTTCTCCAACCTTTTTTCAGGCTGTAGGTGTCCTTAGGTCTAAAATGAGTCTCTTGTAGACAGAAAATAGGTGGTACTTATTTTTTTATCCAGTCTGAAACCCTGCACCTTTTGATGGGATCATTAAGCTCATTCACATTCAGAGCTACTATTGAAAGATATGAATTTAGTGTCATCAGAATAACCTATTCAGTCCCTATTTTTGTAGATTGTTTCCTTGGACTTCTTCTTTATTTTATAGAGTCCCCCTTAATATTTCTTGCAGAGCTGGTTTGGTGGTCACATATTCTTTCAGTTTCTGCCTATCTTGGAAGCTCTTCATCTCTCCTTCTATTCTGAATGAGAACCTTGCTGGATAGAGTATTCTTGGCTGCATGTTCTTCTCATTTAGGACCCTGAATATATCCTGCCAGCCCTTTCTGGCCTGCCAGGTCTCTGTGGAGAGGTCTGCTGTTAACCTAATACTTCTCCCCATATAAGTTAGGGATCTATTGTCTCTTGCTGCTTTAAGGATCTTCTCTTTATCTTTGGAATTTGCAAGTTTCACTATTAAATGTTAAGGTGTTGAATGGTTTTTATTGATTTTAGGGGGGAATCTCTCTATCTCCTGGATCTGAATGCTTGTTTGCCCCTGCAAGTTAGGGAAGTTCTCAGCTACGAGTTGTTCAAATACACATTCTGGTCCTCTGTCCCTTTCAGCTCCCTCTGGAACCCCAATTAAATGTAGATTTTTCCTTCTGAGGCTGTCATTTATTTCCCTTAACCTATCCTCATGATCTTTTAATTGTTTTTCTCTTTTTTCCTCAGCTTACTTCCTTGCCATCAACTTGTCTTCTATGTCACTCACTCATTCTTCTACCTCATTAACCCTCATCGTTAGGACCTCCAGTTTGGATTGCATCTCATTTAATTGATTTTTAATTTCTGCCTGATTAGATCTAAATTCTGCAATCATGAAGTCTCTTGAATCCTTTATGCTTTTTTTCTAGAGCCACCAGTAGCTTTATAATTGTGTTTCTGAATTGGCTTTCTGACATTGAATTGTAATCCAAATTCTGTAACTCTGTGGGAGAGAGTACTGTTTCTGATTTTTTTCTTTTGTGGTGAGTTTTTCCTTCTAGTCATTTTGCTCAGTGCAGAGTGGCTAAAAACAAGTTGTACTGGAAAAAGGAGAAAAAGAGAGAAAAAAAGGGGGGGGGGGGACAAACAGAAAACAAAAAAACAAGGAGGAGTATCCTGATTCTATATACTAAGTCCCTAGACTTCCCCTGGAACTTTCCAGCACTGGTTGGTCAAGAACTTGCTCTTCCCCTGTCCTTCCAGCTGGTCTTCTGGGGGAAGGTGCTGTGCTGATTCTCAGGTGTGTGCACCTGGGGGAGCTGCCCTGCCCCCTGACAGGTGTAGGGTTCAGTGGGAGCTGTTTATCCTGTGAGGTCCCTGCTCCCTGGTGGCCTTGCTTAGTCCCAGGTACAAGGTGACACCAGGAGGAACAACAACAGTGGCGGCAGTCAGCTCCCCAGCCCTGGAGTCAGCTCCCACAGGAACTCCCGCAGCCCGCAGTCTGCAGGGACCTGGATGCTCTGGGTGTGGGGGGCACTGACCTGCACAGCTCGTCTGGCCGGGTGGCAGGAGCGTCCTCGCTGTCCTGTGCCCTCCTCACCTCTGCCTGTCCCGGGGGAGCGCCGGATCCTGGGCTGTGTCCCCCAGCGCCCTGGGCTCTGGGGCCTGCGCCGCTGGAATTGCCCTCCCGGCCAGGCAGCCCCCTCCACAGAGCCGCCACCAGAGCCAACACCGAACTGCTCCCAGGGCCCTGCCGGGGGCGCTCCGGCTGTTTAGGGAACTTGGCCCGGGGTGTGTGGTGCGCTCTCCCCGGAGCGCCCCTCCTCTGTTAGTGTCCCTGGGAGCCTGAGGGCTTCCCTGCCCCTCCTGGGATCCTGCCTGAGCTCCCTGCAGCGCCTTTCCATCTGGGAGAATTGGTGAAGCTCCTGCTTCTCCCGGGCTGGGCTTTCCTGTCCTGGGGGCTCTCGCTGCCCCTCTTAGCCCGGCTCCTCCTGGGGACTCCTCCCCCACTGGATGTTTTTTTATTTTTTTCCCACCTTCCTACCTTGATAGAAGCGCAAACTCTTCTCACTGTAGTGTTCAGATGTTCTCTCTTTAAGTCTCAGGCCGAATTCGTATGTTTTCAGGATGATTTGAAAGTTATCTAGATAAGTTGGTGGGGACAGGTGACTTGGGGACCCTACTCTTTGGCCATCTTGCCCCACCTCATAAAATCTTTTTTTAAAAAATAAATAAATAAAAATAAAACTGAAAAACAAAAAACCTTAAAAAATTAAAAATAAATAAAATCATGACACACAAATGTAAAAATGAACATGTTTAATGAATGCATGAGGACCCTAGTGAGTTGTTACAACCAGGTCAAAGGAAAATCCAAAGAACAGATACATTTATAGATCAGGGCTATTGAAATGATTGTGCAAATGGAGGCACTACTGTTTTGTGGGAGGTTATTTTTCCTGATGAGGGAAGATTGTCTCTACACTGGACTGAGTTCATGTGCAGATCTACAGACAAGAATTATTTTGCATTGCTTTCTAGCGATCTATAACTTTCAAAATTACAAAATAGCTCCCATAGAATCAGATAACACAACAGGGTACATTGCAGAGAATTCATAGTTTCCCACCAAAGTACAATTTTTCCCTATAGTAGCTTCTATCTGAAAGGAGTTGATTTTTTAATAATAGGTAATTCTAAATATCAGAAGAAGCACAAAGATGAAAGTGAAGTAAGAGTGTATGTTATAAACTGTCAAGGAAGGAACTGGATTCTTTCTCTATCTGGAAGATTCTGGTGAAGTTATGGACACATGAGGCATTAATTGCTAGTTGATGAACAGGATAAAATGCCATTTCTCTCAGTTTTATGTTAAATTTACATGTTATATATTTCAATTCATAAAGATACTATCATCAAGCAAGTATTTATGTAAATAAATATACTCGGTATCAATTTCATTTAAGAAAGGGAAATATTCAGGAAAAAGAAGAAAAAAACGTGGAATAAAAAATAAAGATCATTTGAATTAGGAGAAATTCTAAGGCCTGAATTACTTTCTTCAAAATTACTCTAGTTTATTGCATTTTGTCCTTCCCGTTCTTTGTTCTAGGATAGAAGTGGTGGCAAACATATAGTGGTTAATCACTTCATCCTTATGCGTTAGATCGGTAACCTCTAAACTTGGTCTTAGGGATCATGGTATAATATTGAACTCTAAGTCATCTAGTAACTCACAAAAATGAAGACTGGGTTTCTATGAATTATTAAAATTTTGTGATCCACATTCACATATTTGAGTAGATGAACCACACACCAAAAAATGAGAATATAGATAAGTGTATTTGAATTGCAGGCCATGGAATAAATATATATTCAGTGCATCTTATCATGATGTGGAGACTTGCTGGATTGTGCTCTCATATGTGACCATGGTCACTAAAACACTAAACAGGCATTTGGTAGTGGGAGAGAGCACTTTCTGATACCGATCATCTAAGTATTCACTGCTGTGTTTAGGTGAAGAAGAAGAGGAGGAGGAAGATAAACTACCTCGAAGAGAGAGCTTGAGACCAAAGAGGAAACGGACCAGAGATGTGATCAGTGAGGATGACCCGGAGCCTGAACCAGAGGATGAAGAAACAAGGAAGGCCAGAGAGAAGGAGAGGAGGAGGAGGCTGAAGAGAGGAGCGTAAGTGAACTCTGATCTGTAACTGGGATTGTGACTTGTTCACAAGTGCCTAACTTGGAAAGAAGACCACTCCCTTTAGGTGCTCTGTGGCCTTAAAAACTATTTTTAGGAAGAACAGGTTTAATTTGATGTTGCCATTTTACTCCACTTAGTTAAATGTATTTTAAAATTAAAAAAAAATAAAATTTAAATAGAATTTTAAAATGAATATACATATTAAAAATGGGCTAGGAGAAATTTTCTCATGTGAGATCTAAACTATCATTGGTTATTAACATATTTTGAAGTTCTTCCATAGATGATATGCGTTGTTATCAAAGTGAAATGGAAAATCCCTAAAACATGAGCCCAAATCCCTTGACCTTATAGAGCAGGGGCTATAAAATATGACTAATTCCAGACCAAGAGTGAAGAGTGGTTCTTTCAGCTTTAAAGAGATGTTGATTAAACAACAACAACAAACAAACAAAACCAAAGAAATATAGGATAAAGCTGTATGTAGCTCTCAAAGCCTAAAATATTAACCATCTGCTCTTTTATAGAAAAAAAAGTGCTGGCCCATGTTACAGAGTATTGGGGTTGTCATTTCCTTTTTAACACAACCTGACATCTATCATTTCCACCAGGCAAACATTTCACTGAGTGTTGACTTTGTATAAAATAGTATATTAAATACCATTTAGGAAAAATTCAGGAAAATAATTTTTGAGTCTTTGCTTTGTGGAAATTTGCAGATGGCAGGCCAGTAAGAAAGGTGTGCATGTATCACATCCAATAATGGAAAACCCAGACCCCTTGGAAAGGCTTTAAGAGAACAGCTATTATGTCGTTTCCAGGTAGTAGGGTCATGGGAACCATCAGGAGATGATGAGATCTCCTCCAAAACACTCCTAGGACTTGGGATGAAGAGGAACTTTCTAAGATGTCCCCCCCAAATGACACAAACTAGTGTTCAACAGCTAGCTTTTACTTTCCTTTTCATAAATAATTATAAATACAATTGTATGAAAATTTTGGATAGTAGAGAAGCTTAGCATTGATAGATGATGATTCTTTTTAAAATAGAGAGATAACCCCACCCACTTCTTCTTCATATTTTTATTGACTTCAGTTTTTAAATCCTCCCACCCTCTCTTCCTGTCTCTCCTCCTCCCCAAGCTCATTTCTTTCATCTTTGAATATCAAGATACCACCTTCTTTAAATGTTGCCTCTGGGACTTTTTATCCTATTTTCCTTTTAAGTTTTTTTATGCTTTTTACTTTTAAAAAACAAAAAAAAAATCATCTTACTCTTTTAAATTCTATGTCTTATTGTTGTCACTATCATGACGTAGTAATATTTCCTATTAGCAAAGCCTGTGCTTGTTGACAGTACTATTTCATCAATAGGATAGATGCATGATATAGGCTGTGACCCAGAATTTGCTTTTACTCTCTACGTGTGCTTCAGAGAGGTCCTTTTAGAAAGGTGAGTTGGGTGGAAATTTCTGTGCTCTCTTGATCTGATGAAGGCTGTCATGCGAAATGCTCAACCCCTAGAGAGAACCATGTGAATCAATTGGGTCTTGGCCCCTATTGCTTGAGAGAATGTTGTCCTGGCGACAGTGTCTATCCTTAGCTGGTACCACTCTCATCCCAATTCTGAGAAGCCCGCAAGCACCCCTGCCACTAGTCCTCTCCACTTCTCCATACAGCCAGTTAGCTAACATGAACTTTGTGTCCAAATGCTTTTCAAATTACATAATTACTGTCACAATTTGGGTAACTAATCTAAATAGTATTATACATTATTTGTAATGATTGATGGTTCTGATCCCATTTTAAAGTTCATTTTCTATTTTTTATTTTGAAGATAAGTTTTTTTTTTTTTTTAAGGAAATGTATTAGCAAACATATCTTGAGAAAAGATTTGTGGGCAAATCAGGGTACATTTATTTAGACTAACTCATTTCCAGTGCTCGCTTCAGCAGCACATATACAAGACTAACTCATTTTCAGTCTTTTAAACTTTCAAGTGAAACACCTAAGGGAATTCCTACTCCCACCCCCCACTGACAAAAATTTGAAGCCAACTAAAACCAAGGTTGTAATGCTAACTATCTTTGGAGACAGTTAAAAAAACACTGCCTCTTTAGACATTTTGGAGGATTTCTAATAATATAACAGGCTTTTCCTGACCCAGTTTTAAGTGAATAAGAAATATGTTCATAGCAGTGAGAAATTCAGCACATTATGCCTTTTCCCCCCTAACAACTGTTGTTTAAATAAATCAAAGTTAAGATGGAAAGGCATTCTTGCACAGATTAGCCATACAGTTTAGAAGATGAAGCATATCTATGTGATATTCTTTTAATATGATTAGCACTTTCTTTGATTCCTGGAAAAGCAGCTCCTTATATGCTGGTGAAAGTAATATTTTAATTACCTGCCTATTTGAAGATAACTCAGGAGACAACTATACCTGGTAGCACAACATGATCCGCTTGGAGCAATCAACAATTAACAAAGACTTTAAAAATATACCTGTCTGGGGTTATTTTGTGTAAGGATTTATCTTATCTTTCCCTACCATACTAATCTTGGGGGACACTCTTTTATCTTAGTGGACTTTGAGGGCTGGACTTATGATGATAACTCTGTCATCCAGAAAGAATTCTGTACATAAACATTTATGTAATTAATATTTATTCAGCTCCACTACTGTGGAAGCTAATTTGCTGATTTCTTTGGAAGACATGGGTATGAATATGCAATTGGCTGTATTCTCTAGGAGCTCATTATAGAGTAAGGGAGGGGCCACTTAGACACAAATTATTGTGAAGTGAGACAGTATAAATGTGCCAGAGAAAAAGGATAAAGTTGTTTGGAGCCTTGGAGCCTTAGAGAAGACAAAACTGTTATATGGGATAATATATATGGATAATCAGAAAAGAGGGTTAGTGAAGAGATTTCAAATAATGTTTTAAGGAATCATAGAAATAAAATAGATTAAACTCATAAAGTACTAGATTTAAGATAGCAGGAAAGTTTATAATTAGTGTTAGGAAGATTTCCATTAAATGTTTTCTAAAAATTGGCATGTAAAGAAATTAGCTGTAGTTACAGGGTAAATCCGCATACCTAATAGATAATTTCTTAAAATTTTTTGATGACTCTGGATTAAATGAGATACTGTTTTCTATATGATTCTAAATGGGAATTCATTAATTTAAAGCTTTAAGATACTTACATATAGATACCGTTGACCCTTGAACAACATGGTTTTGAACTGCATGGATCCACTTATACATGGATTTTTTTCCTTTTTTAAAAAAATTAATTCTAGTATTGTTAATATACAGTGTCATATTAGTTTCAGGTGTACAATATAGCAATTGAACAATTTGATACATTACTCAGTGCTCATTATGATAAGTGTACTTTTTAAAAAGATTTATTTATTCATAAGAGACACAGAGAGAGAGAGAGGCAGAGACACAAGCAGAGGGAAACGCAGGGCTCCCAGGACCCTGGCCTGAGCCAAAGGCAGACGCTTAACCACTGAGCCACACAGGCATATCCCTGATAAGTGTATTCTTAATCCCTTTCACCTATTTCACCCATCCTTCCACCCACTTCTCTGGTAAACATCAGTTTGTTCTTTATAGTTAAGAGTCTATTTCTTGGTTTCCTTTTTTCTTTTCGGTTTTATTAGTTTTGTTTCTTAAATTCACATATGAATGAAATCATATGGTATTTTTCTTTCTCTGACTGACTTATTTTACTTAACATTATACTCTGTAGATTCATCCATGTTGTTGCAAATGGCAAGATTTCATTCTGTTTTGTTGCTGAGTAATATTTCCATGCACTACATCTTCTTTATCCATTCATCTATCCATGAATACTTGGGCTGCTTCCATAATCTGGGTATTGCATATGATGCTGCAATAATCATGGTGGTACACATATATTTTCAAATTAGTGTTTTCATATTCTTTGGGCAAATACCCAGTAGTGGAATTACTGGTTCATATTGTAGTTCTATTTTTAGTTTTTTGAGGAACCTCCATACTGTTTTCCACAGTGGCTGTACCAGTTTGCATACCCACTAACATTACACAAGGGTTCTTTTTTCTTCACGTCCTCACAAACACTCGTTGTTTCTTGTGTTGTCCATTTAAGCCATTCTGGTGTGAGGGGATATCTCATTGTGGTTTTGATTTGCATTTCCATAATGATTAGTGATGTTGAGCATCTTTTCATGTGTCTGTTGGCCATCCGCATATTTTCTTGGAGAAATGTCTGTTCATGTCTTCTGCCCATTTTAAAAATTGGATTATTTGTTTTTTTAGTGTTGAGTTGAATAAATTCCGTATATATTTTGAATACTAATCCTTTATCAGATTGTGTCATTTCCAAATATCATCTCTCATTCAATAGGTTGTCTTTTGGTTTTGTTGATTGTTTGCTGTGCAGAAGCTTTTTATTTTGATGTAGTCTCAATAGTTTATTTTTGCTTTTGTTTTCCTTGCCTCAGGAGACACATCAAGAAAATGTCGTTACAGCTAATGTCAGAGAAATTATTGCCTGTGTTCTCTTTTAGAATTGTTATGGTTTATAGAGTTTTTATGGTTTTATGGTACCTTACATTTAGGTCCTTAATCCATTTTGAGCTTATTTTTGTGTATGGTATAAGAAAGTCATCAGTTTCATTCTTTTTCATGAAGCTATCCAGTTTTCCCAACATCATTTGTTGAAGAGACTTTTTTTCCATTACATATTCTTGCCTTACATGGATTATTTTTAATAAATACAGTGCAGTGCTATAAATGTACTTTCTCTTCCTTGTGATTTTCTTAACATTTTCTTTTTTCTAGCTTACTTTATTGTTTCTTTTCTCTAGGTTACAGTATATAATATATACAACCTACAAAATATATATTAATTGATTATTTACATCATTGGTAAAACTTCAGGTCAACAGAAGGCTATTAATAGTTAAGTTTTGGGACAGTCTAAAGTTATATGTGAGTTTTTGACTGCACAACAGTCAATGCACCCAAGCTCCATGTTATTCTAGGGTCAACTGTATTGTGAGTTTTTTGGAAGGATGGGCAAGTTAAAGACTTAAGATACTAAGCAATTGAATTATCAATCTTAAATTTTTTTTTAAATTTTTTATTTATTTATGATAGTCACAGAGAGAGAGAGAGAGAGAGAGAGAGAGAGAGAGAGAGAGGCAGAGACACAGGCAGAGGGAGAAGCAGGCTCCATGCACTGGGAGCCCGACATGGGATCGATCCTGGGTCTCCAGGATCGCGCCCTGGGCCAAAGGCAGGCGCTAAACCGCTGTGCCACCCAGGGATCCCAATCTTAAATATTTTTGTTGCTATTGTTTTCTAATTAAATCCATTCTTAATAGTTACTTGACTTAATAGTTACTTTTCTTATGATAGTTTCCATAAAGATTTCAATGAAACAGTTATCTATATAATTTAGATTTAGTCTATGTCTACATGGAAACAATCTTTGGGGTAACAACAAAACAATCTTTTCTTTCAACTGAAATATAATTTACACACAATGTTACATTAGTTTCAGATATATAACATAGTGATTTGACAAGCAAAACAATCATTTTTACTAAAACATATGTTTTCTTCTTATGACAAACCAACACACATATTATTATTCTGATTGGCAAGTTAAGAAAATAAAAACTGTGAATATAGATGTAATAAAAAGGTCTTCAAGTATTTTATGTTGTGGTTGTACAGCACTAAGATTTTATATAATAAGCATCAAATAATTAAAATGGAAATAACCTAATGGCAATCAGAGTTGTATTTTAGAGTGTACTTCCATTGTTCTCTTACTATGAATTACTATTCTAAGCAAAATATCTGAATTGGTCAAAAAAAATCAAACTGTTATTAAGAAATATTATTTTAGAAAATTAATATGAATTTTTATTTCATGACATGATTAAAAACTGGGTTGATGGGAAAGAAAGAATACAAAGTCATTTTGTATGGTCGGCTGTAGAACTATGGCTATGTCCTCTTGTTCCTCAGTTGGAACTTTATTTTTTTTAAGATTTTATTTATTTATTCATGAGAGACAGAGAGAGAGCAGAGACACAGGCAGAGGGAGAAGCAGGCTCCCTGCAGGGAGCCCGACGTGGGACTCGATCCTGTATCTCCAGGATCACGCCCTGGGCTGAAGGTAGCGCTAAACCGCTGAGCCACCCGGGATGCCCCATCAAGGTGGAACTTTAAAGCAGCTCTACTATAGTCCTACTGTGTGTAGTCATCCCAAGAATAGTGAGCAACAAAGTATTTTTCTTTCTTTCTTTTTTTTTTAAGATTTTATTTATTTATTCATGAGAGACACAGAGAGAGAGAGAGAGGGAGAGACACAGGCAGAGGGAGAAGCAGGCTCCTCGCAGGGAGCCCGACGCGGTACTTGCCCCTGGGTCTCCAGGATCACACCCTTGGCGGAAGGCGGCGCTAAACCGCTGAGCCATCAGGGCTGCCCCAAAGTATTTTTCTGATTAATGCTGAGTCAGATTACAATTTCTTTGTCAGTCAGAGTTTAGTTAGGAGAAAGAAACTTCAGATGTTACTTGAATAGAAAGTATTTACTAAGAGAACTGTTGATAGGTATCAATAACTGTTAACTAGGTTAGAAGAGAAAACTAAAGTATCATGATACAAGTTTTGGAAGCAGCTATCACTCCAAAGGCTGGACTGGAAAGAGGTTGAAATTTAAACTTAGAAGCATTGAGGAGGAATGCAATGAGCTGAATCCACTGAAGAGGTGGTGATACTCAAGTGGTGCTGGTTTCTATGGGGGTGGTAATGAAGCTGGTTCTGTTAGTGATGGAAAAGTTGGCAATAGATTCACCTGCACCCTCCAGTTAGTGCAGTGAAGAATCATTACTAAGGAGGAAGTGCCACCCCAGAAAGCCAAAGAAAAGCCCAAATTCCTTTTTAGTATCTTCTGTTGGTGCCTGCCATTGAGCCAGCCAAAGCAGAAGTGTGCCCTGCAGAGTCCCAGCCCCAGTATCGCCAATATTAACTATAGAAGGGCGAGTTTGAAGTTGAGTGACAATAACTTGAGTGACAATAAATAGAACACCTACCACTAAAAAAATTGATCTTTACAATAGAGCATTACATTCCTTGATTTAAAATCATGTTGCTCATGTTTAGATGTTTTTTTGTTTTATTAGTTCTGGATCCTGTAGTATTTTTGCAATCCTAGGAACATAGAAAAGAAAAGATACATCTCATTTGTTCAGTGAGAAACTAAATTCCTTTGAAGGTCTCTTCAAAGGATTCGCTTCTACCAAATATACTTCAAGTTGAATTTTATCAACTGAAGTTTTGAATTTAATTAACAGATTAAGTTACCTTTGAGAAATAGATTTTTTATTTTTCCATATTTCAAGTTTTCTCTTTCTCTTGAGACATAGCTAACAAATTTGTAAGGGCACTTCAAAGACACCTTCACCTCTAATTTACTATACTTATTGAAAGTAATGTTTTTCAATGAAATGTAGAATTAGTGGAGGAAAGTGTACAAGGGAACAAAAAAGAGGAAAATATGTTGATAGATCTGTAACTAATATTCCACTGATTTTTGTTGTTCTGGGAGTTTGAGGCTGTGGAGGTAAAACAGTTTCAGGACTTCAGAATGTAAACACTATTGTTTAAAGTTATAATCATTCCAGAAATCCTGTATCAGTATTCAGACAGATACAAGCCCTCATGCTTATAAGTCTTGGTATCTGCTATGTACAGCCAAGTTGATACACATTGAATGAATATCTGATAGCATTCTTTTTTAAGTTTTAAGTCAAGCAAAATTTAACTTTATTACTTTTTTTTAAAAGGGAAGAAGAAGAAGAAATTGATGAAGAAGAATTGGAAAGGTTGAAGGCAGAGTTAGATGAGAAAAGACAAATGATTGCTACTGTCAAATGCAAGCCTTGGAAAATGGAGAAGAAAATTGAAGTTCTCAAGTATGGTGCCACCTTTTGTAATTAGACACACTTTCCCTGATTGCTGATCTCCTAAATCCTCTGAGTATTACCTATACTTTATACATAGTGTTATATATATCTTTTACATAAAATACTCGTTACTTTATATAAGGTTCATGGTCATAGACACGTACCCAACATATTATATATGTCACATGTCATGTATGTGAACACATAACATATCACATATATGTACATGTATGCATATATACATACCATCACTAGAGAGGCTGAGCTAATGATTATATCTTTTAAAAAAATTATGAGCAAATTCATTGTTGTTCAGAGTCTTATAACCTCTGGTCACTTTTAGTAATTTGTTCCTTGAACTGAGAATTTTTTTAGTTGAATACATTCATTTATATTTCTCTAAAAGAGATAATATATTTGAATTTTACATGTTTGTGTGGCTTGCACATTCTTGTTCCTCTGCAGATTCCCCACCTCAAATGATATAATCAGGTGACAGTTCTCTTTAAAGCACAGAGAGCATATTAAGCCAACAGAACAGTACATAAGATTCCAATTAAGGATTATGCTAATAGCTATTCCATGGTGACATATCAATGACCCAATTTCACTCTTCTGTTGAGTGTTGATGAAGGTACAAACAGACTCAGAGACACATGGATTTGCCAACTCCCTGTATGAAAAGACAAATGATTCTCTCTTTCTGAGGGACGGGAACAGATTCATTTCTGATCACTTCTGAGGTTCATACTATATTACCTTGCCAAGGTTGTCGGGGAGGTGAGACATGAATAAAAGGGAACGTGTCTGTGATAACAAGCATGTTTATATCTTTCAGTTGTGCTACTGATTGCATTTTTTCTCAGAACCATTTTTGTAATTAATGGTACATTTCCAAAGCTGTCTCTCCACAAGGCTATTTAAGTAATAATGTTAGTGTTATAGGATAGTATCGTTGTCTTTGGTGATGAGAAAAGAACTCAAGTAGCTATGAGGATATTTCACTTTTAATCTTAGCTTTGCAAAACAGTAAATCTTATTTAAAGGCTTTGCTAGCTTCTGGGGCATCAGCTACCTCATATCTAAAATCAAACAAGATATTCTGGATCTGTCCTGTGAAATGAGAACCTAGCCATCATTTATAATGGCATTGTTTTGTTTTGTGGACTCAAGTTTCCTAAGTTCCAAACAATGGTCTTCCCAGCAACCTTCTGGAACAGCGCAGTAGTAGGCTGGGAACTCCATGTGCACGTACTTGTAGGCATCAGCCATGAATGACAGCAAAGGCCAGCAGAGTTCCTGGTTCCATGAAGCCGGTCACGTGTATGTGTGCATGTGTGTGCACACGTGTGCATGTGTCTGTTAAAATAGTTTTCATTCAGTGAAGTGAAAATGATGCTAAATGATAGGTTTAAAAATATCCTTACCTGGCAAAATACAAATTTGGCAACTGCTTTATGTTGCTTCCAAAATGTATTTTGAAATATTACTGCCCGTGAAATCCCCCATACTGGAAATCACAGGTAACCGTATGTAGAAAGGTATAAAATTGGAAAGCAGTAGTATTGTGAACCTTCCAAGCATGGGTGTGAAATTGAGTAAGAATGCCAAAGAATGCATCTTCCCTTTCCACCTGCAGAAGGTGTAGAAATACCCCCCTCCCTTTTCTGTATCTCTCATGTGGGGCAGTGGAGTAGGAATGGGCTTCCAATTCCAATCTGAATCTCAGACCTTCCACTTAATAGCTGTGCAAATTTGAGTGAATTGTGTAGCTCTCTGACATTCAGGTTCCTTATGAAATTATGCTAATTTACAGTGTTATTGGAATCATAAGGTGTGGAAATTTACATAAAATGCTTAGCATGGTGTTGGAACATAGCACATAGAGGGGAAGCGCAAATTGTACTTATCATTTCCTCTCAGGATAGAGTCAATGTTGCTTGGTCCCCTGCAGCGTGACAGGAGAGATGGAGAGGGTGTGAGACATGGCAGGGCTGGATGGAAGCAGACCCAGCCAGGGACAACCACGGGAACCCTAGGGGATGGAGACACATTGGTAGTAGTCTAGATGGGCAACTGATTTTGCCATTCCAATGAAGAATAGAGCATCTTGACAATTTGGCAGAATCTGGGGCCAAGCTCCTTTCAGGTATTCCAAATGTACCCAGAGCAATCCTGTAGCAGATTCCAGAACCTGGGTCCTTGAGCTGAGTCCAGGAATTAACCCATTTTTGGAATGGGGGAGAGGTAGGGATTGGGGTGCCAGGAAGGCAATACCAGGCTCTGTTGTTAAGGCAGAGGTTGAAAATGGGGAGTCTGAGACTCAATCTAGGTCTTAGATCTGAATGTTAGGTTTTTATTCGGCCCAAATGCTTTTTGTTTCTTTTTCTTTTGTTATTTTTTCATTTTTCATTCACATATATAACATAAAATTGACCATTTTAGCCATTTTGGGAGTATATTTTTTATAACATTTTTTCCTTGTTGCCAAACATTGAAAAGTAGGAGATTTTACATTAAAGAAATCCAGAAATGAGATACCTGGGTGGCTTAGTGGTTGAGCGTCTGCCTCTGGCTCAGGTCGTGATCCTGGAGTCACAGGGTTGAGTCCCCTCAGGGAGCCTGCTTCTCTCTCTGCCTATGTCTCTGCCTCTCTCTGTGTGTCTCTCATGAATCAATAGATAAAATCTTAAAAAATAAAATCCAGGGATGCCTGGGTGGTCCAGTCTGTTAAGCATCTGACTCTTGATCTCAGCTCAGGTCTTGATCTCAGGGTCATGAGTTCAAGCCTGACATTGGGCCCCATGCTGGGCATACATTTAAAGAAAAAAAATCTATGGGACTCTTGGGTGGCTCAGTGGTTTGGTGCCTGCCATAGGCCCAGGGTATGATCCTGGGGTCCTGGGATCGAGTCCCACGTTGAGCTTCCTACATGGAGCCTGCTTCTCCCTCTGCCTGTGTCTCTGCCTCTCTCTTTGTGTGTCTCTCTCATGAATGAATACATAAAATCTTTTAAAAAAATCCAGATGTCCAGCTTTTGCTGGATAAGTGGAGGATCTGGTCCGTCATTCCTACAGGGAAATAGCAGCTGGGGCTTGGCACTAGTTGCCCCTGCAAAAGGGGCATTCACTTTTCAGTGTGCACAGTTCTCAAACAATCCACATCACCTGCTCACACTACTTGGTTAAAGCTTGTATGCATTCCAGTGTTAGGCCTCCTACCTGTGCAACAAGGGAGCAATATCGGCACGTTTCCAAGATAGCAATTCAGAACATCAACTTCAAAGCCAGCTTGCAGAATGGAAGCACAGATTCAGGGCCAGAAAAGGAATGATGATGGCTTCTCACATGTCAGTAATGCTCACCATCTTGCGATGATTGTCTGTGGCCAGAAGTGAGTCCTGCTTCGTAGCTTTGCAATGCTCTGCGCAGCTGGTGTCAGCAATTGGCCTGATTTCCTTGGTTTCAGCCTCCTTAATGGAGCTGTTGGCAGTATAGTCCCCAGCCTGTCTCCCTTTGTGGGTCTCTCAATGTTGTATTAAGTGGCTTCCTCATGGATTTCAAGCATGTTGTTAGAGCAAGTGGTCAATACTTATGGTATATAGAGGTAAAGGTTTCTCTACCCCAACATGGGAGTAGAGAGGGAAATTTTCTCCTACCCTTTATGTCTTTCAGGGACTTCTAATTCTGAGAGGACATTTCTGAGGATTATGTTATCCCAGAATTCACCTCCAGTCATCAATCCTCGCTAAGTATATGGAATCCAAGGCACTAGGCTCAGTATAACTACAGTAGATATTTAGGTCATAGGTTTGGATCTATGTCGGGGTTCCAAGGCTTTCCATCTGGCTCTGGACTATGAAAAACTGAGGAAACATCCAAAACAGATTTATCAGAGGGTCAGGCTTTCAAGATGTGTTTTAGAGTAAGGCATAGGGAATAGCAGCTATTATATAATAGTGGGGGGGCCCTCAGAGGTGGTTCCCACTTTCTGAAAGGATGCTCACTAGCAACATGAGCATCCTCAGAGCTGAGGCCAAATGACAGTTAAAATAAGCAGTTAATACATGGGCAAGAGGCCCTAAAAATGGGTTGTTAATCCCTGAGGACTCTTGAACGTGGCTCAGGAGTGGAGCTCAGCACTTTCAAGGCAGCAGTATTGGCTTTTTAGGACTGAAGAGAAGGCACATCTTTCCTCTGTCACCGGGGACAATGTTTTTCAGTGTGTTTTACTGTGTGCTAATGCAGTTTTGCACATACGTGTGGCCTTAAACCTGTTGAATGATAATCTCCAGGTTTGGAAAGGCAGGTGTGCCTGGCCCAGACCAGGGTATGCATATTTTTATTTTTGACTCTAAACGTCATTGATATACAGTCAGGATTGACGTCTACTGTCTTTTGATTCTGAGAAACAGAAAAACTTCAGTAAGCAGAATGTCCTGCTCTATAAATTGTTTATCAAATGGCTGAAAATATGTGGTGGGGGGGCAGGGGAAGGGAAATAGTGGTATAATTTTCATCTCTTTGAAACTCAATTCCTAATTTTTTATTAGTAATCAATTTTTAAAATATCCAACAGCCAGGATTGTACGCATAATTTTTTTAAGTTGTTAATGGGTTTCCCTTGGAAGTTGGTTACCTAGATCTTTCCTCCCTGTATTTATAGATGACTGCATAACCTGATAGCAACCATCACAAGTGATACAAAACACCTAGATGGAAAATAACCGGTCTACTTATTACTCATCTTGAAATCTCAAAACCAACTACTCCAGAACATTCGACATGGTGTGTGTTTAAAGTCTGTATGACTAAACTTGAATAAGCAAATACTTTGTTTTGTTACAGTAAGGTGGGTTGGGGAGTGAAAATAAAGAGATGTGAGGGCCACCTGGTTGGCTCAGTGGTTAGATTTCTGCCTTTGGCTGAGGACGTGATCCCGGGGTCCTGGGATGGAGTCTGGCATCGGGCTCCCCACAAGGAGCCTGTTTCTCCCTCTGCCTAAGTCTC